CCGCGAGTGACAGCGTGTGTATAATAAGCCACAGATAGTCGACAAACTCCACGTTCTCGGGATCGTCGGCCAGCAGTTGATCGGTGGCCGACAACAGTGTCTTCACGCACTCGTATCGGCGGTCAAACGTGAGCCACACGGCGGCCATCGTGTCGTCTAAGTATAGCATTTTGTTTAACAATAGGATTTCACTCCGGAGTAGATCACAGTTGAGACAGTTCTCGAGCGTGTGGTGTATTGTCGTCAGGAATTGGTCGGAGCGCTCTTTGATGGCCGCCAGCCATCGGTCCTGCGTTTCGCCATTGCTTAGCGATGCGCTCACTATTCGCACCACTTGTATGACAAATGGTGTGTCCGAAGAGCTCAACGATTCCAGTATTAATTGTCTGTAAAATGACAAACAATGGCTATAATTATGACCACATTATCACCGAATAAGACAATACCTAAAGAGTGGTCTATTGGCCAGATTGACACATATATCACGATTGACAGCAATGTTGGCCAATATTCCGGCACTTATTTCCTGCAAAAAAAACATCACCAAAAACAAGGTCTGCATTAATATCTGCCACTAATCATACGCCACACACGAGTGGTGGCCAGCGATGGCGCTATCATACGGCAAATCGGGGCGAATTGGTCCGCATTAGTATCGTCTCGAAGAGATCGATGGCCTTATAATCGTTGAGAAACGCCATCACATCCTCATTGATCGACATATCCCACAGTATTGACAACTCTTCGTCCGTCCGGTCGTCCAGTTCTATGGGCTCTCGCGGTCCGAAAGCGGTCACCACCGCCGACGACGACGACAGGCGCTCATTATCATCGACACTGCCATCAGCGCCGCCATTAGTGTCCCCACTCTTCTCGCCGTTGATTATCTATAAGAGAGGACACCATATGAGTGATTATCTGCCGCGTAAGACATCGAGCGAAGACATACGTTGACAGTATTGATGAGACACTGGAAGAGCCAGTGTTTGCTGAAGACTGTGTCGCCAATGTTGTCGCCCACCCCCTCCTCCCTGTCCTCCGAGTTGTCCACTCTGTGGTCATCGTCTGTGGCGGCGGTGATCATCGGTTCCGAGCGGTGATGGTCTTCGGTGTCAGCGATGGACAACACGTCGACTAATCGTTTGTCTAAATCCTGACCGCCGTTACAATCGGTGATCACTTCGCGCGACATATCATCGCATCTGTGGTTAAAAATCAATTGATTTTTTGATAATTATTTTTGTGTTTAAATAATATTAATATTTAATTAAAACTCGTTTTCATTACGAAAACAAAACTCATATTAAAAACACTTTTTTTATTAATAAACAAAATGTTT